TTTCTTCTTGTAATTATCTTCATTATGCAAACTCGTATCAAGATATCTCATTCGTGACTGGAACAAACTAACGTGCCCCATTTTGTCGAAGTGCTAAAAGAAGAGAATAATTGACTCCTCCCAATAGCCCAAGTAACATTATTACTCCTGAATCCTCACACCGATACAGAATGTCACTATGAGTTAGCCAAGGGGCTCTTCATACGATGTCTTCATCTTGGAGGTGCATAAATACCTTCATCCATTTTTCCTTAGGGATGCCTTCTCACTATTTTTGTGTAAGGAATTTCTTCAAGGGTGAATATGTCGTACTGAATCGATGGTAATAAATTCCATCAGTTTTCCAAAAATGACTATGGATCCAAACCTGAAGCAGATGCGTGCATCCTATAAAACGTCATCCACCAGTCCTTCTTTAATGGTTTAGTGAGCAGAAAGTTTTAATTAGGATTGTTGCTACAGGGTTCACTCGCTTTGGCAGTTGTTAGAATAATTCCACCACAACTGCCTCAATGTATCCCAAAGTTTTCAGGAAATAATCAAGCTATAGATAACCAGTGCGAAAAGATCGATCACCTTCTACTCATCAAGATGATTCCTCATTAACTGCTTGATGTGAGCCCAAACAATTCCTTCTCCTTTACCCTTGGGTTGGATCCGATCAATTACCCATTTTTCATCAACCCTGTAACCTTTTCCAATCCATTCTTGAATAGCTGACTTTTGATGTATTTTATGAAGGCCGATCCATGTTGATTCCTTTGTAGTGTAACTAGGTGGTGTACTCCTCAATTGTGGGCACCATGTATTTTTGGTTGAAAGTAAAGAAGATATATCGTGGATTCCAAAATTGCACCAAGGATCGAATTAAAGGTTTGTCTATCTTGACGTAGTGCATGTGTACGATATCACCGTATCGCTGGCAAAACTTCTGTTTTCTTTCGGTCTTCCAGCTTTCCCAAATATTTGAGTTTTCTGAGTATCATTCTGTTTAAGGCTGATGAAAGCATAGTCTACCAGGTCTGACACATAATTGTCTTGTAGACTGCCTATTTTTTTTCTTTCTGAATCCTTTCTGACCATAGTCGTACTTCTGCATTATTGACCTCTTACATTATAACCCCTTTGTCCATTAATGCCAACTATTCGGGTTTTAACGAACACTTTTGTAGATCAACACCTCTTTAAATGATGCAAATGATAAAAACGGAAAGGAAAACAAAAATGAAAGGAAACAAGTTAGGAAAATAATAATAATAATAAAATTAAAATTTCCTACCCCACATGCTTTTTATTCCTACTCGGACATGATCTATATCCCGTATTTCTTGAACAAATACTGACCACATATATTTCTAATTATCATGTTTTCAATAAAAATAAAGCAGGAAATAAATCAAGCATCCTAGGTTTTGAAATGAAGTTTTGGGGTGGGATCTAATTCCTTGCAGCATCACAGTTTGGTTCTAAAAAGGTACCCGAGTTTTCCTTACTGGTGCCCTTTTGGGCCTGCCAGACCCTCAGTCTTAAGCCCATCACAGGCTCATGTGGACTGAGTTAAACTCGAGAGGACACATTCCCTTATGTCTGTACGGAGAATAAATTCACACGAAGACATAAGGTATATGAATCCTGAAGGTTACTTGCTAGGCCTATACGGAGAATAAATTCATACGAAGGTGTCGCTTTCACCTCCACTTAAAAAGGTTTGGAGCCCGAGATTAGGGTCTGAGATGAATGTTTGTTTTGAAAAATCTAAAATCATTAGAAAACCATCAGTAGAACTATTTATTTGAAAAAAATAATAATAATCGAAGGTAAATAATAAGGGTCAAAAGGATAAATTATAATTCAAACTTACAATTTTTGCTTAAGAAGACAATCGAAAATTAATTTTGGTCTGGCTCTCTTACATGTCCCCAACGGAGTCGCCAAGTTGTCGTAATCGTCCTTCGAGTGGTCCCAGAATCAGTTTTCGACTTAAAATAATATGTTGTAGCCGCCACCGATCATTTTAAATCAGGTTGATTGAACACCTTAACTTACCATTTATCTGATCTGTATTTTATCATAAACTAATCGGATTCGGGAGTCGATTACAGTCAAGGAAGGATTAGCACCCTTGTACTACCCTTTTGGTACCAATTTGATTTTTCGGTTGTCTTAATTGAGAAAATTAAAAGTTAAATTAAAATTTATAATTTCAATATGAATTACTTACCTTTGACAAATTTTAGAATAACCTAAAAATATGAAATTATTGTTAGATAAAAAATTAAATTAAAAATAAAAAATGGAAAATATTTTTTAAAAAAATGCATATCAAAATTAATGCTAAAAGTGAGTTGCATGAATAAATAAAAGTTAGGGGGTCAATTTGCAAGATATAAAAAATATAATCAAGGATTAAATTAAATTAGCTCAAAATTTAAGGGTAAAATTACAACAGGTGACCAAAATGAATTACACATCAAAAGTACAGAGACTACATAAATAATTTTAAAATCTTGTAATTATAAAGAAGCCCCCTATAAATACCCCTAAAATCATAAAAAATTACATTTTTAACATTTCACAAAACACCCTCTTCCTCTCAAAAATATCCTCTCAACTTCCCTTAGCTGGTTGAAAATCGACCACCTACCGGTGCCAAACCTCCGCCCGGACTGCCACTCCAACCACCGCCTCCGGCGGTCGGGAACCTAAAAGCCTACCAAGAATGTTCTCCACACCACCCCAACTCTAAAACTAAAATTAAACCCTAAATCCCCTAAAAAGCACATAAATAGCGTAGATCTAAGGTAAAAGATTCAGTTTTTACCTATTTCCGTCAAAATTTCTTTGATCTCGACGACCGTTCTTCCTCCGAGCCTATTCCGATGCTTGCCTTGGTTTTTTTGTTGTGACTTTTCCAAGCTATTTCGTGTATTTTTGCTCGATTGTTGTGTATATTGCCTTGTTTCTATCGATTTCGATTGGTTTTTTACTGTATATTCCTTGGTGGATTTCTCTTGATGATTTCTGTTGTTTTCTTGTGTTTTCCGTTGGTTTTCTCGTGTTTCCACTGTGTCGTTGTTCGAAGGCTTGGTGGGGTTTATATAACCCTTCTGACAGTGGTAGTTTCTAAGCATCTTAGGGTTATTTCTGAGCATTTTGGGTTGTTTCTCGGTTATTCGACTCGCTCGGGTTATTGCTCACGTTTGTCGAGAATAATGGGGACTACTTGTTCTCGATTTTGCCATGATTTGCTTTCGGTTTAGCATGCGTCGTTTTCTTCGCCGGCCGTTATGTGCTGGTAGGTCGCCAGGCTTGCGATGCTCCTGTTACTTTAGGGTTCATGAAATCCTAATCTCTACTGGGCCAGAAAATGGGTTTGGACCTTGCTGGGTTTCTACCTGGCCTCTTGGGTCAGGCTATCCGATTGGGCTCCGTTTCTAGGATGGACTTGGACCGTTGGACTCTTTTCATTGGACATAAATAAAATAAATTCAAAATATAAATAGTATGGAAATATAAATAATACCATACACTATAATAAATAACTAATACGTAATATATATTATAATATACTAATACATATACATATAATATGAATATATATACTATAATATATAATATGAATATACATACTATAATATATAATATATATATACAATATATAATATACATAATATATACTACTATAATATATATATATATATATATATATATATAATATATAATATATATTATAATACTATAATAATATACTATAAAACTATATAATGATATATACTTTATAAATATTATAAAATATATATATAATATCATACCATATAATATATATTATACAAAATAATATATAATATAATATAATGAAAAAGAACCCGTACTAAAATGAGTGTATACAATTGTATATGATAGCAAGTGGAATGGGATTTTTATTTTTGAAGTAGAAATGCTAGAAATTTAAATCCAAAAATTTAAAAATAGCAAACGACTGCTAAACTCGACATTAACTCAAAGACATATTAACCGTTGTCTAAGAAACAAATATTTTTAATTATTTTTGCTGGCATCAATGTTTTTAAAATCGGATCGAACCTTAAATCGATGAAGGTACTGGTTCAATCGAGTTGAACCGGTTTATATAAAATAATATTTTTTTAAAATTTTACATAATATTCAAAATACTATTAATATATATATATATATATAACATTATTTTTAAGTTTACAATATTAAAAGGTATAAAAATATCACAAATCATAACATATATAAGTTAAATACCATAAAATCAAATGAAACAAAATGATTCAAATTAACTACAACATAATATTTAAGGTCAATACTTAATGAAATTCATCAACAACTAAATAAAAAAAGTACATAATTGATACAAGTATCAATCATCATAATATTCATTGAAATTGATTCCCTCAAATTCCAAAATATTAGGAAAAACTTCTTCATTAGTTGAATTGTTGAACTACCACCTCCATCACCACTTTGAACTTGAAACTCCATAGCATCATTTTGAACTTGAAAGTCCACAACATCAAGATCTTCATCACATAACAATATAATAAATAAATACAAAGTTAAATTTAAATTCCCAAACAATACTTAACAATTAAAAGTAAAAGTGTAAAACATATTAAATAATAAATATAATTTTATAACTAAAATCAGAAAATAAATTTATGGTTGAAAAAAATCAGAACAAACGACGTTGTTTAGTTTAATTTAAAAAAAAACAGAACCGGCGGTTTTGCCGGTTTTCAGCCGATTCACACCGATTTTACCGGTTCCCAACTGATTCTACCAGTTCTTTAACGGTTCATTGAAAAATTAGTTTTAGAGGCTGATCGGACCAGGCAGGCAACCGATTCTCGGTTCAATCTGTCGAACCGACCGATTGATCCGGTTTTGATAACATTGGTTGGCATACAAATGAATCGGTTAGTAATAGTTTGGGAACATATTATTAAACAAACATGTGAGTTAACTGTAATCATAGCCAACTTGTTTTGCCATATTTGCCCCAGTTATTATCTTTCTGCTTCCCTTTCTATCTCCAGAAAAAGAAATATTAGAAAGGGAAATCAGATCCTTTTAGCCTTAATACATTGTTGATCTATGCGAGAAGACACAATTCTGGGATTTTTGTAATTCTTATACGGCAAACTCTTTTTTTTTATGTGTGCGTTTGTGTCAACGAGAAGAAAAAAGATGGGGCAGGGGGGGAAGCTTCAAGTTCTATCTCTGGGAATCAAAATGGGTGCTATAGGGACGTAACCAATGTGATTTTGAATGTATATGATCTAACTCCTATCAATAATTACTCTTATTGTCTTGGTTTCGGGATTTTCCACTCCGGTATTGAAGGTTTCATCTCTTTTCTGAATTCTCTTTGTTATATTTATATATATATATATCTGTATTGGCTGTCTGTTTCTTTGTATGTTTTGGGATGTGGGTAATAGATTGTTTTAGTTTCGTATTGCTCCAAAATGATGAATTTGGTTTCTCTTGATAGAAAATGGATATGGGTTTCCCGATTTGTTTTAAATAATATTTTGCTTGCTTTTCTCCAATATGTAGCTGAAGCTTTACATTCATTTAGGTTTTTATTCGGTATGAATTATGGAGAAAATTAGATCTTTTGATGTTTGCTTAGATCTTTTTGTTAACTAGTGAATTTGTCATCTAATTTTACTGTGGTTTGAAAAGTTGTGTATGCATGAGGCAATGCATTTCTATTTTAGCAAGATTTCGTTTTGAAAATGTTTGAATAAAGGTTTCATACGTTAAATGAAGTTACTACAATTTACTTTTGGTCATAAAATTCTCTGTTTCTACTTCTAGTAAATGTTATTCAGATTAGTTGAACATACTTGTGGTGCTAAAGGACTCAAAGTTCCATTTAGTTAGATTTAAGATAAGGTATTTGTTGGTACTTGGTACTTGGTACTTGGTAGGATTGAAATGCATCGCATATCGAGGAACTTGTAGCATGCTTGAAATAAAACAGCTTATTGCTACATACTTGGTTGCTGTTTAGTAGCTTCAATCTGAAATCATGCTGTTGAGGGCTTTAGGCTAAATACTTCCTGTGTTGATAATCCTTTTCTCTAATTTAGGAAACTGAAATATCTATCTCAATATTTATGAACAGTTCATGGTAAAGAGTATGGGTTTGGGGCACATGATTTTCCAATTAGTGGAGTTTTTGAAGTAGAGCCAAAGAGCTGCCCTGGTTTTATATACAGATGTTCCATCGCATTGGGATGCATACACATGCCTTTCTCTGAATTCAGAGCATTGATCGAGAGTGTAGCTTCTGCGTACCATGGAGATACCTACCACCTCATCTCCAAGAACTGTAACCACTTCACAGATGACAGTGCATAGATTGACTGCCAAACATATCCCCGGATGGGTAAACCGGCTGGCTCGGATAGGTTTGTTGATCCTTCCAATCGTTTATCAAATTCTGTGTATGCATATATATATATATGTGTCTCTATCTTTCTTCTTCAAATTGTCCATGACATTTGATGATATCAATGGTTTACTCTTCCTTACATTATGTCATACTGTTAGATTTTGTATGGGGGTATCCCTCAAGGAATTGACATATGTGTAGCTACTTTGTTTGATACGTTTGAAGTTTGAACAAAGCTGGTCCTTGAGCCCATTGGGAGTGGCAAACAACCCCTAAGCCAAGCCTATATTATTGTTATATAGTATACTTTTCGAGTTTTCGTCATCCTATTTGGCATTTTCCACTAAAATGATAAAAAAGAAGGAAAATCATTAAGTTTATGATTTGCCAAAAAGGTAGGTTATTTATGCAGCTGTCTGCTTCCCGAAAGCCTTCAAGTAACCAAAGTGAGGCAGTTGCCTGAATTCCACGAAATTGGTATGCTTCCTGTCTTTTCTGCTGTATATGAAAGGTTGAATCTTCCATTTACTCATTCTGATATCAGGGACTTTCTTCTGCTTCTTTTGGCTGGCTTGGTTCCAGAAGAAGAAATTGAAACTGTCTCAATAGCCTGGCCCCGCGACTCAACAGAAATCAACGATACAGATCCGGAGAAGCAATTGCTCTCACCAAAAGAGGGACCTTCGGATATATCTTTTATTAAAGAAGCTCTAACGTGCGACCGCAAAGAAGCTTAAAAAAGGAGAGCTTGATTTGCACTTTGATTTTAATTGTTGTAATTAGATATCCAATTCCAATTATTTGGGTTTATTAATTAATTTTTTCTCTTGTTTATTATGAAGTTAGCCAAGCACAGGCCTCTTCCATCTCCTCAAGGACCAATTATATATTGTTGAAAAAAGCATCCAATTTAAGACAAGCATGTGTATATAATAAATTATGTAAAGAAAATAATTAAGTAATATTTTTAAATAGTCTATAGTTATTATAAGGTAAGTGTCTGGTTGTAATTTTTCTTAGTTATTAACAATGCACGCATATATTTTCATTATATTTGGTCAAATTCTAATCCTCTAAAAAGAATAACACTCAACTTTAATCATCCTACTACGGTCCGTGTTCCAACCCATTACTTCTAAAAACAATAATAATTCCTTTGATAATTATTTGTAAAGAAAACATCTATTTGATGTAATATAAACTTCAATAGACTTTAAAATTAATTTTCATACTAATCATCTAAATATAATTTAAAATTAATTAATGAAATTATTTTTAACCTTTTCTTGATAAGTCAAGTGCATATATAGTAAAATAATTTTTGAATTATCAATAATAATAATTTATAAAGTAATTTTGAAATTTATTTCTAAATCAGTCCGTTATGAATCCCTCATAAATTATCATGTGGCGCAATAAAGGTCACCGCCTATGACGACGCTGCCCTAAAGCACTACTTTCACTATTTCCCGCCTTGTTAAAAGGCGTTTTTCCCGAAATATCACCCTAACCCTATATATTTCTCTGTCAGGCATGTTCAGACTATATTTTCTGAATTAACACCCTTTACAGGAAAGTGCGTCCCTGCACCTCGCATTACGCCACGTGGTCGAAGGCGCGCCATGTGTAAAAAATTCAAATGCTAGTTTTGTAAATATTTTTAAACGGGTGTCAAACACGTCATTAATTTCTATTATGGTGATATTTGTGTAAAAAAGTCAACATTTTGAATTGTGCAGACACCCCCCAGCGTATGGTTCCAGGTTGTAAACTGGCTGGGGTTTTAATGAAGTGGGCAGTGTGTGTAGTGGTTGAGTTTATTATTTTAGTGTCACAAGTTTATTTTTTATAATAATAAATTTTTTATAATTTTAAAAATTATAAATTTTATATATTTTAAAAACATTATTGAATAATAATTTATTTGATCCCTCAATTATAATTAAAAGTGTATTTTAATATTTTTTATGTTTTTAAACAATTACTTTTAAAAGACAATAATTTTTTCAAAAATTTATGAAATTTATAATTTTTAAATTATAAATATTTATCATCATCATCATTTTGTAAAAGAAATACTAGTTATAAAACTTTTATAAAATTATTCATATTTTAAAATACTTACCCTCAAAGTTTTTATATACTAGATTATATGTATTATGTAATTTTAATGCAAAAATTTAATAATTTTATTAAAAATGAATAAACATTATTAACTGTTGTTAAAAATTAAAAATTAATAAATAATAATTCATTTGATCCCTCAATTATAATTAAAAGTTTATTTTAATATTTTTTTATATTTTTAAACAATTAATTTTAAAAGGTAATAATATTTTCAAAAATATATGAAATTTATAATTTTTAAAATTATAAAATATTTATTATTATCATCATCATTATCATTTTGTAAAATAAATACTAGTTATAAAACTTTTATAAAATTATTCATATTTTAAAATACTTACCCTCAAACTAGATTAGACGTATTGTGCCATTTTAATGCAAAAATCAAAATAATTTTATTAAAAATGAATAAACATTATTAACTGTTATTAAAAAATAAAAATTAATGAATAATAATTCATTTGATCCCTTAATTGTAATTAAAAGTTTATTTTAATATTTTAATATTTTTAAACAATTAATTTTAAAAGAAAATATTTTTTTCAAAATATATGAAATTTTTAATTTTTAAAATTATAAAAAATTTATTATTATAAAAAATAAACTTGTGACACCAAAATACTAATAAACTCAACCACTATATACACTGCCCACTTCATTAACTTGTGACAAGACCCCAGCCAGTTCACAACCTAGAACTGTGCCGTGTGGGGTGTCTGCACAATTCAAAATGCTGACGTTTTTACACAAATGTCACCATAATAAAATTAATGACGTATTTGGCATCCGTTTAAAAATATTTACAAAATTAACACTCGGGGTTTTTACACATTTGGTAAGGCGCGCCCCCAGAGGCGCGCCTTCGATCACGTGGCATAAAGCGCGGGGCAGGGGGGCGCCCTCCTGCAAAGGGCGTTAGAACAAAAAATATAATCTGAACGGTGTCTGATCGGAAATATTAAATGGAAAATGTGATTTTTCGGGATAAACGTCGGCAAGTAAACCAACAAAAGCTAAAGACAGATAAGAAAGAAAAATAAAGCTGCTCCACTGTAAGGAGTAAAACTGTTCGAAAAGAGAGAAGCCAAATGTAGACCCCCATTTTGTCCAGGATTTTTATTTATTTTTTATTTTATTTTATTTTTATTATTATGATTATTAAATATTAGATATTAATGTAATTTTATTATTATTTTTATTATTTTTAGGTCATTATAAAGACTCAATTTGGGTTTATGCCCAGTAACACGAAACAAGCCCAACAAGCCTGAACCAAAGCTATCCAAGTCCCATGAGCCAGTTGTCCCTCCTCAAACGTTGGAAACGTACCTGCAGCAAACAAGGAGAGAATTACAAAACACCATTCAACACAACGTGGGGGATTACACACAAAAAGGACCACAGACAAAAAAAAAATGGAGAGTACAGAGCAAAAACGAGAGAGGAATTGGCAGAGAAACACATTAACCATCACGAGAAGACGAGAAGCAAAAAACCTGATTAACTATCAGCAATTTTACATAGTGTAAAGGGATACAGAAGAAAAACAAGGGTGATCCCACAATTCAAAAGCAGAGAAAACATTATAATTGCAAGTATTTTCGAGATACTCTTCTGGGATTTATTTTTGTTTTCAATTTCTTTTATGTGTGTTTGTGTCATTCGGAGAAACTAGATGAGATTAACTTTAGGTTTGGATTATATACTGACTGTAAAATTATTTAGGTTCCTATAAAATCCATAGCACTAATTTGTATTGGAATCCTTTCCATGTTTTATTTATTTATTTGAAGCAATACCGATTGTTTCTCTATTCTTTGTTCCCATTTCTATTTCGACATAACCACACAAGATTTGTAAACAGAACCAACTCTTTCCCGTTTCTATTTCTTGAGACAGAAATCGTACCAAAGCAAAAGATTTCAAGCGGTTTTTATTTTCTACTTTCGTTTTATAGATTTTCCAAAGATGTATGTTTTCAATTGAAAGTAAATTAAAAGGGAAGTGGTAGTATTACCTTAGTCATTGAGTCGCATCACCAGAGAGAGAAGATGTCGGAGAGAGAGAGTAATGCCGAGAGGTCAGGACCTTTTTTGAATCTATTTTTAAATTTTTAAACGCGATTTAACCCAAGATTAAAGACTAGCAATGCGAGGTGAGGATAGACGTGTTTTTTTTGTGGCTCCTGATTTTGTCGAATAGTGATGAAGAAGAGATAGGGGAGAGAAGAAAACATACGGCTGAAAGAGGTGAAGTGGGGGCATTTTTTACATAAAATATATATATATATATATATATATATATATATATATATTCACGTGCTTTAATGATGATTTAAACTATTGTTCTTTAATTATTTTAGAATTTAGTATTGATGATGGTTAATTTTTATTGCTTTTAAAATTACTAGTGTGTTCATCTTTCTAGATTACATTCAAATGTTGTCAGTATACCGTGGACTGCTTGTATATAGCCATTTGTAATTATCTGTAAATACATCACTTTGCATGACTCGTATGGTATCCTCATGCGCATAACTCGACATATTACATAATTGGATTAAGGGTAATATATTTTTAATTTAAAATTATTTTTAAGTGGGTTGTCATAACGCATTTGAGGTCTGCTTTTAATGATTTTAAAATAAAAATGTATCACATTAGTTACGCCTAAAAATTGATCCATCATTTTAAAATTTGGGAATGGAAGAAAATGAAATGTTCGGCTATTTAAATTTATCGATAAAAGGTTGTTATAGCTTTTAAGATATTGTCTCGATATTTGTAAATAATCGAACATTCTTTATCTTTCTAAAACGACTTATTAATTTTAATTTAATTTATTTGGGTACTTTTGAATATTATTAAATTCACATCTTTGTTTTATGGGATAAAAACTCAAATTAAATTCGAATTTGTAGAGTTCATTGCAAAGACGTTAATTAATCGACTAGGTACCAATTTAGGGCGTTGTGGGGGTGCTAATCCTTCCCCACAAGTAACCGACTCCCGAACTCATTTTTTGGTAACGCAAATCACAATTTGTTGTTTTAATTAAAATTAATTTTTATTTAAAATGACAAAACATTTGTGGGTGCCTAATCACACCCTAATCAAGGATTGGTGGCGACTCTTTGAACCGTATTTTTTGCTATCGTAAAGGAAATCCAAAATTTTTCGAAACGAGAGGTCTTTTAAATCGCATTTGTTTTTAAATTAAAAATCAATTGAAAGAGGATAATTAAGAATTCATGTGGTTTTTAAAATCTCACCTTTTAAGGAAAAAATCATTTCGACAGCTTGGACTCCACTGGGGACATTTTTAGAGAGCTAGGCCGATAGTCAATTAATTATGTGTCTTTTCAATTGAAGTTATAAATTTTTTAATTTGATTTTGATCCCGTGTTTGGTTTTAATATTTTTTGTTTATAATTTGATTAACCATTAAATAGTTGTACTGATCTGTTTGCTAATGGTTTCAGCTTAATTGTGTGAATTAGGAATTGATTTTGAGTGTTTTTATTGTTTATTTTTTCGCTTTTCCTCACACACTGCACAGTTGCATTATCATGACATGAGTTAAAACTCTGCTCCGTCCAAATT